CCTGCAGCGCCGCTGGAAGGAAGAGCCGTGGGCATTCCTGAGGATCATCTCGCAGGTGAGCCAGGAGTGCTACGCCCAGGGAAGAAGGAAGGAGAGGATATTAGTTTTCTCTTTCTTTGGTTGGTTCCTTTGATGTGGTGCTTTTCCACCTGGAAGCCATCAGGGTTTTCATGTGGGATTCATTGGAGTTTTGGCTCCGTGGAGTAGCCGCAGGCCCTGCCAAGGGAGGAACATCCTGCTAGGAGCCTTTAGTGCCTGCAGCCTTGCTGGGTTAGTGCAACTGGGCTGACTGGGGAATCTTCAGGAGATTTATAAACGGGCGAGGCCCAAACCTGGCCCGGTGGCCTCCAAGTCCAGACCGCTGTAGGGCATGAGGGGGCTACTCATTTGCAGCAAGCAGGGAGAGTTGCAATTATTCTTTCAAGGCATTTGCGAACTATCCTCTGTAGCTGAATGTGCTTGAAAAGAATATTTTGTACCCTCCTGGTAATGACATCAGAGTTCAAGCTAGGCTTCCCATTAGGGACCCGTTCCCCTAGGTCTAAGCAAACTGATCCTCCGCTAGCCCTCGCCTAGTCCCGGCGTCCTTCTCACCCCATCCTGAAGATGCAGAGCTCAAAGGCTGCAGCATCAGCAGTAGCCAAGGTGCTTCAAGCTGGTTGAGTTTTCAGGGTACCATGAAAAAAAAACCCATATATATATATATATAGATGGGATCTGAGAGGATTTGATGTTTTTAAGTAATTACCCAAATAAAACATCTCCTTTTTCTCCAGATCCTCTCTACGGATCTGGAAGTTTAATAGGCCCCCGAATAAACCGCTTTGCTGCCCCACATGTGTGCCTGCAGTAGAAGAGAAGTGACTCAACACGCTGCTAATTGCGGAGAGACCTGTTCCCTGCGGGGCCTTCCCCAATTGCTGGGCCCTGCTGGGAGTGCCGGCTCCCGTCGTGTGCCCTGAAGGGCACCAGGTTTGTGCCGTAGTGTCTTTAAAGAAAAACACCCCAAGGGTCTTAAAATCCTCTAAAACTTCAGGAACTTGTTTTGTTGCTGATCATGGAACAGGAAAGGAGAGCAGTGCCCTTGGGCTGGTGTTTTCCCGCTGCAGCCAGGGGGGTTTCGCACGAGGCTCGGCTGCCCTTTCCCTCCTTCCCTAGGGAATCTTGGCAGGCCCAGGAGTTCAAAGGCCCCGGGGCTGCCGCCCCAGCGTGAGCCCAGACCGTGCCCAGGGCTCCCTCCCGGAGTGCCTGGCAACGCTCCCGCCCGCCGCTTCCCAGAGCTGTCCACCCGCTCGGGACCTTTGCCCGGAACAGCCCCTGTCCTAGCGGGGACAGCCGGGAAGGAGACGCTTCCATCTGCGCGCAACGCGGAGAGGAGCACGGCCCGCTGGGCCCGGCTGCCTCCCTTTGCCCTGGCGTTTTTGGGAGTGGTTTTATTTTTTTTTTCCTTTTGGCCTGGCTGGGAGCTGGAAAGCGGCGGCTGTCCCTGGGCGACCTGGCTGTTTGCTGCAAGGGCGCTGATCTAAGCGATCTGCCTCTCCTTCCTGCAGAGCGTCCTGGACCGCACGGCTGGGCGAGAGCGGCAGCCCGTGCGCTCAGGAGCCCCGCGCGGGGCCAAAATAACCCCGTGCTCTCGGGGCTGCCCCTGCCTTCCATCTCTGCCCTCTGGGGCCGCTTAACCTAATGCAAAGGCTCAGGGAGTATTTTAGTGTTTTTATCCCCCCTTTTCCCAGGGCCAGCGCCGAGCACGAGTGCCCCCGGGCTCCAAGGAGGCAGCAGGTCCCCGCTTGCCAAGCAGAGTGTGGAGAAGCTGCTGACGGCCTGTGCCGAGTGCCCCGCACCAAGGAGCATTGGCACCTGGGCTGGGCAAAGTGCTGAGGCTGCTGCAGGCGCTGGGAACGGTCCCCGGGGGCTGCGCAGGCAGCAGCCATGGGCTAAATCCATGAGATTCCCCCCAGTAATTACTTTAGATCGCTCTCAGCAGCCAAAATACCGAGCTTTGCACTTCAGCTTGCGCCAGGGCTGCTGCGGCTCGGGGCTGCGGCTCGGGAGCTGCTCTGGAGCGTCCGCGAGGCCTCGTTACCCCGTGAACCGCTGCAGCCTGCGCGGGGTCCCTGCGGTTACCGCAGGCTCTGCAGTGCAGCCCCGTCCTGCTGAGGCTGGCCCCGGTTCTCCTGCAGCTGGGTGCTTCCCAAAGCAGGAACCGGAGCTGCACGGGGGGCACCTGGCGCCTTGCAGGAGCCTCCGTCCCCGCTTCCATGCGCGTGGAATTAAAAGCAAGGAGTCCCAAAGCGGCCGGGGCTCCCGGAGCCGCAGGAGGCTGTTGCTGGGTGAAGCCGGAGTTGTTTGCGCCGCGCGGGCTGTTTGCTGGACTTTGCCGCGTGCCGCCTGTCAGGCGGCACCAGATTGTTATCAGCGCCGCTGTCTGCCGCCTCTTGGCTTGTTTTTTTTCACTTTCCTCCCCATTTTTTCCTCCTCTCCCTGGTTTCTGCTGCCGCCCGCACTTGTTATTCCCGGAGAAGGAGCTGGGGCAGCTCCTTGGGTGCCGGTGAAGCCCCCAGCCCAGGGGAGGCTGCTCTTTGGGGCTGTTCGGCACCGCGGCTGTGGGCCCAAACAGGTACAACGCTGGGCATGAGGCCCACGTTCTGGGCTGGTTCCGGAACTGGCCCGCAGCTTGTGAAGGGGTCCTGGGCAGGCTCCAGAACCACTCCAGGAGCAGCTCTGGGCACAAGGAGCGGGTTCGGGACTGCCTCCGGTACCAGCCCTGGGCAGTACCGGGCAGGACCCCCGGCCCAGGTTCTGGGCAGGTTTTAGAGCCAGGCACAAGGGCTGGGTTCTGAGCTGGCTGGGGAACTGTTCCCAGGTCCAGGTTGTAGCCTGGCTCCAGAAGCGAGCCCGGGCGGGTGCATGGGTTCTGGGCTGTTTCCAGAACCAGGCATAAAGCCCAGGTTCTGAGCTGGCTCCAGAACTGACTCAGGACAGAGGCCTGGATTCCAGGCTGGCTCCAGAACTGGCCCTGGGAACAAAGCCCAGGTTCAGGGCTGACCTGTGAACCAGGCTCAGGGCACAGGGTCCAGAACCAGCTCAGGGCAGAAGGTCCAGGCTCATGTCTGCCTCCAGAACCGGTCTTGGGCGCTAATCACAGGTTCGGGACTGCCTCGGGAACTAGGCACGAAGCCCAGGTTCTGCACCGGCCCCAGGCCTGCCTCTGGGCACCACGTCAGGGTTGGTTCCGGTACCAGCCTCGAGCAGCGGGCGCGGGTTCCGGGCCGGCCTCGGTACCGGCCGCCCTCCCGCTCCGCCTCCTCACCGCACCGCCGCGGACTACAACCCCCAGCAGCCCCCGCGCCGCCGCTCTCCTATTGGCGGGCGGCCGCGCCCCCGGCGCCGCCATTGGCCGAGTGCTCTTGGGGGCGGGTCCCGGCCGAGGTAAGGCCGTCCCGCCCGCGGCGGCGCTATGAAAGCGCCGCGGGCGGCGGGACCGGGAGCGGGACCGGGAGCGGGAGCGGGAGCCTTCGGGAGGCCGGTGCGGCCGGGCCCGCCGACCCGGTCCGGGAGCCGCCGCCGGTCCCCGGTGCCGCCATGCTGCTGGCGGGCTCGCAGTGCTGCCCGCCCGCGCCTGCCGAGTACCGGGGCTGCGGGGCGCTGCGCGGCGGCGGCGAGGTAAGGGGGGACCCCCGGGCCGGGGCGCCCCGCGCTCGGGGCGGCTCGGGAACGCGGTGCTGCGGCTCGGGAACGCGGTGCTGCGGCTCGGGCCGCTTCGTCCCCCTGGCCGCCGGCTTGGCCCTTGTGGCATTCGTGACACGAGTTGCCCGTTCTCAGCTGCCAAGGCCTTGGGCTCGGGGCCGGGCCTTGCCTGGTGGCACCGGGCGCCCCGTGGACCGCCCGCGCCCTGCTCCATGCCCGTCCTCCCCGCGTCGGTGCTGCTGTCCCCGCCGGCGGCTCCTGCCCGGCCGCAGCGCCCGTGTCCACCGGGAACGGGCAGTGACCATAGGGTGCCTGCAAATGCCGCCCCGGGCCGCCGTAACGCCCCCGCTCCGCTCCCGGCGGCCTTTCGGGCTCCGCTTCCCCCTTTTCCCCATCCCGAGGGGCCTCCGCAGGGCCCCGGGAGCCTCCACAGCCTCCGTGGCCCCAGAGCTGCTGGACGTGAGCCAGAGGCTGCCGTGGAGGAGGCAGCTGAGCCTGACTCGCGTCCGGAGCATCCCGAGCCCCGGCTTTGCTCCTGCTGTGCCCAGCTGCAGAGCTCGGCCCCTGCCGCACCCGCCGTTTTCAGCCTCACCGGCCTTGAAGCTCTGGGTAGTTTCTTTTTTTTTGGTAAAGCTGGAGATTCTTTTAGTGGGTTTTTGGAGCGTCTCTCTGGAAGGAAAAGGGCTGGGGTTCACACCTGACCCTGGGACTGTTTTGCGGTGGCTCAAAACGAGCTGAACGTTGTGCGTGGAGCCGAGTGCCCGTGGGCAGAACCAGGGGCCCAGTTCTCTCTCCCCGGGTTTCCAGAAGGCGCCGGGGGGCAGTTATCAGTGGGGCTGCATTTGGGTGCTCCAGGGAGAGCAGCTGGGCCGGCCCCACGTCCCCCCTCCTGCTGGCACATGGTGGCACCTCAGCTCTTCCTGCAGCTGTGTTTGCAGCCCTTCTTTTCCCTCTTTCCTAGGAGAGAGGGGTGGAAATCCCAGGGCAGCCGCGCAGGGGCCCCAGCGCCTTCATCCCTGCGGAAGAGGTGAGAGCACCGCGGAGATGGCGATCCCCGGCCTCGCCACCGGGACGGGACAGGACCGGGGCGCAGCTGTCCCTGCCGGGATGGACCGGGACCAGGGGGGCAGCCGTTCCCGCCGGGATGGGATGGGATGGGGCGCAGCCGTCCCCGCCGGGGTGGGCTCCGGCAGCAGCGGCCGTAGTGCTCCGTGTCGCCGCAGATCCTGCGGGAAGGCGCCGAGCGCGGCCGGCGGCAGCTCTGCCTCGAGGCCTGGGTGGCAGCGGGCAGGGGGGACAACGTGGCCACCGTCATGGGGCTGCACCCCCAGTACCTCAGCAGCTTCTGGAAGACACAGCGCCTACTGCTCTGCATGGACGGGCCCCTGCCCTACCACAAGCGCCACTACATCGCCATCATGGTGAGAGGGACGGAGGGTGGCCCCTGGGGACCCCGCTGTCCCAGCGGCTCCCACAGCCCCTCGCCCGGGGTCCTGGCCCGAAGACCAGGAGGGGTTTGGGCCTCCCAGGTGAAACGTGTCCCCTGCCAGGACCTGCTCATGGGGACGCCAAGCACCTTTAGGCACCATCCCCGTCCGCTTGTCACCCCATTCCCAATGTGCTGCAGGGGACAACATGGGCGCGTGGCTTGTCCTTGTGGCCACGCTGGCCGTTGCGGTGGCCCCATGGTCCAGCCCCTTCTCCCGGGGGGCCTTGGCTGCTGCTGGCAGGATGCAAAGAGCCAGGCTGGGCCCCTGAGCACCGGGGGAGGCCCTGGGGGCCGGTGGCTTTGCCGAGGGCCGGTGCCGGTGTCCTGAGCGGGCGCTCCGCGGCAGGCGGCCGCGCGGCACCAGTGCTCCTACCTGGTGGGGCTGCACGGCGCCGAGTTCCTGCGGGCGGGGGGCAACCCCGCCTGGCTGCAGGGGCTGCCCCGCGCGCCCCCGAAGCTGCGGCGCCTCAACGAGCTCAACAAGCTGCTGGCGCACCGGCCCTGGCTCGTCACCAAGGAGCACATCGAGGTGAGGCCCGCGGCCGCCCAGCCTCGCCTCCCGAATCCCCCTGCCCGCTTCGGGGGCTTCCCGACGGGCTCTCGGCGCTTTGGGGGCTGAGGGGGGTTGGAGGTGGAGGCCGGGGCTGTCCCGCTGCGGGCGGATGGGGGTGTCCCCCAGGGCTGTCCCCTGCGCGCGGCGCCAAACCCCGCGCGCGTCCCGGTTCCAGGCGCTCCTGAAGACGGGGGAGAACAGCTGGTCGCTGGCGGAGCTGGTGCAGGCGCTCGTGCTCCTCGCGCACTACCACGCACTCGCCTCCTTCGTCTTCGGCTGCGGCATCAACCCCGAGGCGGAGCAGGACGAGGGGCCCCACGGCGACCGCAGCCCTGCCCGCGACGAGGGCACGGGGGTAGGCGAGCTGTCCGTGCGCCGCGGTGCTTGGTGCCCGCCGGCCCTCCGCGACCTCGGCCCGTCCCCCGCAGGGAAAAGACGCCGCGCGGGAGGTGGAGGCGCTCATGGAGAGGATGAAGCTGCTGCGGGAGAGCCCGCTGGAGGAGGAGGGCGTCACGCAGGAGGAGATGGCGACGCGCTTCGAGATGGAGAAGACGGAGAGCTTGCTGGTCGCTCCCTCGGGTGCGGGCACGCGGGAGGCTCCGCGGGAGGGGACACAGGGATGCGGGAGGCCCCGCTCACGGCGGTGTCGCACAGATGTCGCGGACCAGGCGCTGCAGCCCGGCGTGCTCTGCTTCGTGGAGGACCCTGCCTTCGGCTACAAGGACTTCACACGCCGCGGCGAGCAGGCGCCCCCCACCTTCCGTGCACAGGTGGGTGCCCGTGGGGCCCGGGGCGATGGGCTGGTGCCTTTGGGAGCCTTTGCCCAGAGGAGTGTGGGCAGAGGTGCCCCTGTGTGGGTTGCCTGATTGGGGAAAGGGGACCAGAGAAGGGCAGGGCACGAGATCTGCAGGCACTTGGGTCCCTTGCCTCTCAAGGGACCCTGCGTTTCGCCTGTAGAGCTCCCATCCCAGCAGCCTTTTCCCGTCAGGATTACACCTGGGAAGACCACGGCTACTCGCTGATCAACCGCCTGTACCCCGATGTGGGGCAGCTCCTGGATGAGAAGTTCCAGGTGGTCTACAACCTGACGTACAACACCATCGCCATGCACTGTGGCGTGGACACCTCCGTGCTCCGCAGGGCCATCTGGAACTACGTGCACTGCATCTTCGGCATCCGGTAGGCGCCCGGTGCCCTCGAGCTGCGCCAGGAGCCCGGGCACTCCGGGATGCACAGCATCCGGGTGCGAATCCTGCCTGACAAGCCCAGCAGGGGGAAGGGGAGCGGGGGGCTGAGGTGCTTGGGGATGCTCTTGGGGGTTTAGGACTGTGTGTGGTAAAGTGCAGAGGAGAGGGACACGTGTTGGTGGCTCTGTCCTTTCTGGAGAGCCTCAGGCCAGCGGTGCTGGGTGCTCGCAGGGGTGGGGAAAGGTGTTTGTGGGCACCCTTGGGTGCTCACACCTGGCAGGGTGGCTGAAGGGCTGCGCTCGGGGGTAGGTCCAGCCACCCTAATGGTCACCAGGAGAGACCAACGGAGCAGCCCACGGTCCCGGCCAGCCTGTTCTTCCTTGGTGTCACCAGGAAGCGTGTGGCTGGAAGCCGGGAGCTGGGCTGCAACACGGGTCTGGTGGCAGCCCAGCTGCCACCACCACGCTCCTCCCTTGGGAACAACCTTCCGGGAAGGGGCTCCAGTGGATGCGGTGGGAGGGCCCCGGTGGCAGTGCTTGTGCTGGCAGTAACGGGGCCTCCTCTCTCCCACAGCTACGATGACTATGACTACGGGGAGGTCAACCAGCTCCTGGAGCGCAGCCTCAAGATCTACATCAAGACGGTGGCCTGCTACCCCGAGAAGACGACCAAGCGGATGTACGCGCAGTTCTGGAGACACTTCAAGCACTCGGAGAAGGTGCCGGCCCCTGTCCTCGCTGAGCCGGGCAGGGAGCGCGTCCCCTCGCCCTGTGCCGGGGGGTGACGAGGGGCCGTGTCCCCGCTGTGCCCTGACCCCGCTGTCCTCGCGTGCCAGGTGCACGTGAACCTGCTGCTGCTGGAGGCCCGGCTGCAGGCGGCTCTGCTCTACGCCCTGCGCGCCGTCACCCGCTACATGACCTGACAGCTCTTCGCTCCCTCCTCCTCCTCCTCCCCTGGCACGGGGGGGCTGGCGAGGGGGGAGCCGGCGCCTTAAAGACTTCCCTGGAATATTGTCCCCTGCCTTAAGGGGCCTGGAGCTGTGCAAGGAAAAAGGGGGGCTTATCCCCCTGCCCCTTATCCTAGAGGAGGGGCTGCTCCCGAAGCTGGGGTGAGCCCGGAGCGCTGGTCCCTTCCTGCACTGCGGATGCTGGGCTATCTTGCTGCTCCAAGCTTTCCTTGGGATGACCTGGATAAAGCCAAACCGGGGTGGCTGCTGCTAGTGCCACCCAGCTCCTGGGCTTGGCCCCAGTGTTGCCCCTCACTAGGGCTCATTGCCCCTCACAGGGGCCCGTCTTCTTACCAAAGATCCCTGGAGGGAATCTCCGACGTTCCCAGACCAGGATTCATCTTCCTGCCCTGCTCCCTGGGGCTGCCCGTGGTGACTGGGGTGGACTCCCTGGGGATACCGCAGCCACGGGGACGTCTCGTGGCCTCCACAGTGCCCGACTGCGCTCCAGGGTGCTGCCCGCGGGCACCACCGTGGGGTGAGGGCCCTGGTGCTCTTGCCCCCCGCGGGGACGTCCCCCTTTCCCGGCCATGGGCTCGTCCCCTCCGCGGCCACTGCCCCACAGGGTGTCCCAGCCCCTGCTGCTCCTCCTGGGATCCCTCCTGGCCAGGCTGGGGACATCCCGCTGCAGGGCAGGGCACGGACCCCTCGGAGCTTCCTCCCCATGGGCACCGGTGCCGGCCGCCGGGAAGCTCCCGCTCCAAGCGTTCCCGGAGCCACAGCCCCAGGGCACTGCTGCCCCTTGGTTTTGCAGAACCCGAGCTCCACTTAAGTTATTTCTCTTCTTGGGATGTATTTCCTACAGCTGGGGCATGGAAACGCGCTGGGCCTTTGCTGTGAGCCTGTTTGAGAAAATAAAGGTGTTTTGTGGTTTTTGTTTTTCCCGCTGCCCCCGCGCACCGCTCCTTAGCGCCCGCCTGCCGCTCCAGCCCAGGCTCCCAGCAAGGCGGGAATGCAGGGGGGCTGCGACGGGAGCAGCGTGGGGCCTGTCCTGGCTCCCCAGGGGTCCCCAGCTGCTGTGTATTCCCAGGGGATCCTTAGGGTGCCTCGGGGGGCACCCGTTATCCCCCTGGGCAGCACCCAGCGGGTCGCTGAGAGCGAGGCCAGTGGCTCCACTTCCTCCAGTGGCTCTTGCACACGTGGGGAGAAGGCTCCGCGGAGCAGCTCCGCAACGAGGGCCTTTTCCTGCCTCCCTTTGGCTCTCGGGGAGGCGCCTGGAATCCTGCTGCCTAAAGAGGCTGCTTCAGAGGGCAAAAAAGAGGGAAAAAGGAGCACGCTGGGCGGTGCCGCGAGCAAATTCCTGCTCTGCTCCTGTTTCTCCTGGTGAAAGCAGAGGGCTCAGTTTCCACATCCAGGTCTGGTGAGGACTATAGTATACGTGTATGTTTGTATATATATACATATATATTTATATATATGTCTATTTAATCATTTTCTCCTGCTTGTGCCGGTGTCAGCCAGCCGCGCTCCAGCAGGCCTGCTCAGGCCATGGGCTTTCCCCCCACCTCCTCACCCCAATGTGGATTTAAACCAAACTCAGCAAGGACTTGGGCCAGGCTCTGCCAGAACCGGCAATTCCCACGGCTGGGTCTGCTCCCCGAGGATGCCGAGAGCAGCCGGGCGGCGGGAAGGAGCAGCTGCCTCGTTCCCATTCCCATTCCCGGCTTTGCACCGCGGCGGCGGATGCCGCAGGGCCGAGCGGCTCCGTGAGGCTCCTCTAACTCGGCGCCTGGGTCATGGTATCAATTTAAGCCACTTCCTCTTCCTTCAGGTGTTCGCAATTATAAACTAATAAATCCCTTAGCCCGCGTTCAGCTGACGCCGGCAATTTGTAGGCACATGTATAATTTATCGGCAGCTCTCGCGGCGGCTCCCGGGGTGGGAGGCGCGTTAATCAGCTCCTACCTGCAGCCCGGGGGGGACGGATCGAGCGCAGGGAGGGGGAAAAAAGCCCTGCGTGACGTTGCCCTCCATGGAAACGGTGCCAACGGCGCGGAAACGGCAGCGGCCAACGGGAAATTGTCCCACCAGGGTCCTGCTTGGGGCGCGGGGGGCTGTGCAAAGGGTGGAGATGAGGGGCCGGGCTGGGTGCAGCCTGGAAAAGGTGTTTGCAGGGAGGCAGCTCCCGCGGCCCCCCGGGATTGCGGCGCTGCCGGAGCCGATTGCCGGGGAGGGCCGAGCGGCCGCCTTAGCTCACGGGAACGGCATGTGCCCTCGGCGGCCGCGGCGCCCAAAATAGCCCCGCTCGGCGCACGGGCCTCGCGGCGGCCCCCGGGCGCGCGGAGCCCCCGCGCCCCGGCCCCTGCGCGGCGCCCGCGGCCGCTCCTGCCCGTCCGGCCCCGCGGGCAGCGCCGGCCGCACCAGGCGGCACCCCGGGGAGCGCGCGGGGACGTCCCGGAGCGCCCAGCTCGGTGCCCGCGATGATGCCCTGCAGGGCAGCGCTGCAACCCGGCGCATGCACGTGCTGCTCCCCGCTCGGCGCCACGCGCTCCCCGTGCTCCCGAGTTTTCCAGAGCCTGGGAATAACGGCAGCCGGGGGAGCAGAGCTGCCGGAGCGGCCGGGATGCGGTGACTAACCCCAACCGCGGGCTCTGCGCCCGGGCTGCGAGGAAAATTTTCCATGCAGGGCGGGAGCTGGATGAGGCCGCGGCCGGCCGGGCTGCTCCTGCAGGGTCCGGCTTTTCCGAGGAGGCAGCGCCGCTCGCTGGAGACGCGGCGGCAGCTCCGCCAGCGGCCGCTGCAAAGCTCCGCATGCGGCTGCAAATCCCTGCCCGTGTCCCTGCCAAATCCCTGCCCATATCCTTGCAAAATCCCTGTCTGTATCCTGCCTGTGTCCTTGCAAAAAAATATCTGCCCGTATTCCTGCCGCAGCCCTCCTGGCATCCCTGCTGCAAACCTGCCCGCATCCCTGCTGCAAACCCTTCCTGCATCCCTGCTCCGAGCTCCCCGCATCCTTGCCTGTATCCCTGATGCAAAACCTGCCTGCATCCTCGCCCACATCCCTGCCCATATTCCTGCCGCATTCCCATCAGGATCACCCCTGCTCCCCCGCGTGCCAAAGCCCTGGAGCATCCCGCCCGCTTGCCGGAGGCTGGAGGCCGTGTCCCAGCATCGCCGGGAACGACGAGCCGAGAAGCGCACGTTGCGTCCTTCCCTCATCCTTGCAGATCCCGCGTCTGGAGCCTCCGATCCCTGCACAGCGCGCGGCTTTCCCGGACTGGTGCCCACAGCCTTGGACAGAGCCCCACGGCACCGCGTGCTTCCCATGCTCTTCCCATGCACTTCCCATGCGCTTCCCGCACACTCCGCCTTGTGCTCTCGCTGCTTCCCTGGTGCCTCGGAGCGGAGCCAGCACCCCAGGCCCGGGAAGGAGGCCGGGCCTCCAGCCAGGCTGGGCTCGGGCCTCCGCATCCCGTTCGGCACCTGCAGAGGCTCTGCCCGGTGTTGGGAGCCACCCCGGAAACCGGGATACGGGAACGTGGGGCTCTGGGCTGCCAGCTGCGCCCTATCCCTGGGGGAGAGGCCTGTTTTCCATCTCGCCTCCCACTCTCCTGCGCTTGTCAGGATGAACCGGATGGGTTTTCCAGCCAGGATTTGTGTTTGTCATACGGAGGCAATGGGAAACTTTCACCTTCAAAGACAAGCAAATAAATGTGAGGGAGCAAGGAGAGGCCGCGGATGGAGCCGGCCCAGCTGCCACCCCCGCTCGCTCCGTCGTGCCCACGGTGTCCCGGGAATGCTGCAGCTCCCGGGCAACCCCCCACATGCCAAAGGCTGCACACTCCACGGCCCCAAATCCCTGCAGGCCGCCCCCCCCCCATGTCCCTGATTGTCCCCCCTCCATGCGCCGACCCTTCATCCCAAATCCCCACGAATCCCCACGAATCCCGACCCTCCCCCGGGCGCCCCGGGGGCGGGGCCGAGGCGAAGGGGGCGGGGTCTGGTCTAGAGGGCGTGGTCATGCCCCAAGGGGGCGGGGTCTGACCTAAGGAGGCGTGGCCTGGGCGCGGAGGCGGGCTCTGTGTTAAAGGGTGGAGCCTGGCTCGGGG